TTTTTTTTTTTTGCACTAATAAAGTTGTGGAGTTGTAAAGTATTTTGTCTATCGTCAGTTATATCATTATCGCAAATTTTCAAATGTATATCGTGATAAATGTTTTTGGTCATATCGCCCTGCTCTAGATCCAAGCCTGGGATTTGAGCAGGTTTTGTTTATGCTAACAATTTACTTGCATGCCGTGTTGAAACATCCTGCAGGGAATAAAAACAATTTAAAGTGCTGGTGTGAATAGCTGTATTTTTACACCACTGAATTGAACCAGCTTTGCCTTTTCTGTTGTGTTTTTGGATCTATGGAAGTGTGACACCTCAGTAAAGTAGGGTTAGAATTTAACTTGTGGGCGAGTTACCATATTTGGAAGATAAGAACAGTTTACAAAGATAAAAAACAAAAAACAAAAACATAATTAATCAGAGTCAAGCTGGACTCCAAACAGCTCAAACTTGTATGATTATATTTGTTTGTTTCCTTCTTTCTGCTGGTGTTCCTGCATTGGGTATTTTACAAGGTTCATTCCAGTGAAAAAGAGGAGAGAACTGGGAGTAAACAGGACATACAGCCATGTTTATTACTGTTGCTTTTCTTTTTCCCTCTCCTACAGACAACAACTCCCTGCGGTCCAGTTTGGTGGCCGAGGCCACTGTCGTGGAGCTGATCAGAGATGAACCCGGAGAGGAGCTGGGCCTTCGGATCGTGGGGGGGAAAGACACACCGCTGGGAAATATAGTCATACAAGAAATTGTGCGGGACTCAATAGCAGCTAGGGATGGCAGGCTGGCACCAGGAGACCATATTTTAGAGGTGAGAGAAAACAAAAACGAGGGAAGAGCTGGGATTAAGTCGTATTCAGCTGTTATTCAGTGTTGGGATTTAGAAATCTCGTGTCGTGGCATAGCGTGACAGTTGAGGTCAAAATTGTTTCGCACACAACACCTTATGACTACTTCTCATGGTATTGTAAACACACTGCTCGTTAGAGGGGGTGGGAAAGTAGACATACAAGATAAACAAGTTTTGTCTCCATGGCAACAAGGCGTGGTTAATATTACCTGGCACAAGTGCGTCATGTTAGCTTGAGCAACTTTACTTTGTTGGTGTAACTGACTAACCCACTGCCTTTCACTTTAATAGTCTTCAAACATTAAGGAGGAACTGCGTTTGGTTTCCGCAGAGAATAATGGGAGTGCAGAATATCAATAACAAGAATATTCCACATCCGATTTCTACCCTCACATTGCTCTGAAATAAATTTCCTGTGAAATACATTTTAACTTTTCCTCTAAAGCTAAGCAATCCCAGACCTGGAGATGAAAACAAAAACCGTACCGGAGAACAGCTCGCTTTCAGGACGCGAAACAATTGCTTCCTTTGTTTGTGAACACAAAAAGATGACTGATTTTTGCTGAGGCCTATTCTTAGATTTGTGAGGCAGACTTCAAACACAAGAGACTTGGAACTAATGTTTATGTAGCTGTGATAATCGTGATTATTTTATTAAGAGGACAACAAAACTAAAGTGTAATGTCCATCCTTCTCCTTCAGCGTCTCCAGTTCAGGGCTAACGCTGAGAAACAGACAACCATTCACACTCACGTTTATACCTCCCACCTAATTAGAATACCCAGTTAATCTAACATGCATGGTTTTTGGACTGTGGGAGGAAGCTCGAATTTCCAGACAGACAAGCAGTTGCCTGCCTTGCCTGGTGGCAAGCAGCACCTTGCTTGGGGGCCCAGGCCAGTGGGGGGGCCCCTGAGGGCTGATAAACTTTAAACTACAGCAATAATCCACAGTTTGTAGTGACAGTATGAGAGGCCTGAGCCTCCCTTAGGCGTCCCCACCTGACTCCAGTCACTCCCTTTTCAAGTGGCATGCATGATTGTGTTTAAACAAACCTAATGACAACAATGTAAACTGAGGGGAGGATTCCTGCTGCAAGTGAAAAAAGAAAGAAGAAAAAAACTAAACTGTGGAGCAGATAATGATTATTAAATGTAACACTGATTTCAAAAGTAATACTAATTTGTTGTTTTTGTTTTTTTTGTTTTTGTTTTACAAATGGCAATTATAAACATGATCCAGATGTTTTTCCTATCTGTGGATGCTTCACTTCAGCCAAATAGCAACAAAACATAACAGGTTTTGTGGAAAAAA